TTCTGCTTTTTAACATTTGTTTTCAATATCCCTGTGCCCTAATACAGGGTCATTTTTTGTAAAAGTTCATGTGGTGCTGAGAAATATATATGTATTTTTTTGCAGTCCCATTTAGGATATGGCTATTATTCTTTTTCATTTTGTTGGATTTTTTAATCCATTCACATTTAAAGTTGTGAGAGTTAGGTTTATATTTTCCTCCATTTCTCTCTTATTACTCATTGTTTGTTTGGTTTTTTTCCCAAATTAGGATTCTCTCCCTCCTAATACTGCAAGCATATTTCTTTAGTTATCTTAATCTTTTGTTTTAATCTTTTTAAAATCAACCCTTTACCCTGTAGTTGTCCTCCTCACTGTCAGCCCCACTAACTCCACCCCCATTTGTTACTCCATTCTCAGATTTTGGAATTTTGTTCATTGGTTCCTTATTTCTTGTTGTTATCTAGTTATTTATTCCTTCCTTTCTTTTTTTCTTCTAAGCTAAGTAGTCAAATAAAATCCAAAGCTTTTGTAAACTGAGCACATTTCTGCTGTTTGGAGTTGAGCTCTCCAGTGCACTGCAAAGAAGTAGGGGTAGGGGTCAAGGTGTGAGATTGATTCTGTTGTAAGCAAGTGGTTTGGCTTGTGCATGCTTGCTGTTAGTGCTGTGGTGGACAGTGGGGGAAGGGGTTGCTAAGTGAGAGCTTGTTATGATTGTTATGGCCTTCTCTACTGTTAATTCATTGTTTTTATCTTGTTTGGGTTCTTCCATGAAGATAGCTGAAATTGATTTATCTGGTGCCTAATGCCTGTTTTGGAGAGGTTGTGAAGATCAGAGAAAATGCTCTGTCCCCTGTCTTTTTGGTCACGTGACCTGGGAGTCTAATTTGGAATTGAGCCTTTTTTTGCTGGTGCCTTGTCTTAGAATATGACTGCTACCTTTGTTTTTTGGGGTTAGTTCAAACAAGAGAGCTTTTGCTTCAGCCCTCTGTTTTAACTCTGAATCTTTGTTTCAGGTATATTTCATGTAAATTACGTTGTTATGCTTTTTAATTTATTTTGCTGTCCTCTTATATTTTATGAGTGTGTTCATTCCATTCATAGTTATGATTGTCATTTGTGTCAATAACAATATCTACTGTTCATATATGCTTTAAGGTTTGCAAAGCTCTTTATAAATGTCTTGTTTTATCCTCACAACCACTCCAGGAGGTAGGTGCTCTTATCCCCATTTTACAGACTAGGAAACTGAGGAAGACAGATTAAGTAATTTACGCAGGTTCACACAGCTAGTAAGTGTCTCACAAGATTTTAGTTCAAGTCTCTTCTATCCACTGTGCCACCTGATTTCTTTGTTTTCCTATATCCGTAAAACTTTTTCTTGTTTTCTTTTTCTTCTGTATAGGGAAAATTGTCATAGGAGGTAAGTTTGTTCAGAACCAATGCTCTGTGCTTGTCGCAGTCATCTTCTGCTCCCCTGTTCTTCTCTTCTTCCAGTCCAGATCCCAGTCACGGGTGTGTGTGTGTGTGTGTGTGTGGTGTGTGTGTGTGTGTGTGTGTGTGTAAAATAGTGAAAAAGCTAGTTTTGATAGAGGTACTGGCAGCTACAGGAACCAAGAAAGGGTTCATGAAGAATGTAGTGATTGATCTGAGTCTTGAGGGAAACCAGGAATTCCAAGAGGTGGAAGTGAGGAATGATTCTAGAGGGCAAAGACATAGTTATGGAAGAAGAATATGGAACCTGACATTGGTGTGTTGCCAATTCAGTGTGCCTCGGCTGAATTTACTTTCGGTTCAGTTCACACTTACAATGATGCACACTTATACAACAAATAATATATTTTATTGCTTATAAGTATAGATGAAAGTTTATATACATATATGACCAAATTGGGAGAGCACCAGCATCTGGATCATGCAGCTGGGGAGTCCTGGTTCAGGCTCTAGAGTCTCGATTGGGAAAATGCCCCAGGTAGTGTGTCTATTCCACGGGTGAGACTCCAAAGTCTGAATGGAAGAGCCCTGCTTTAAATTCTACTTCAAACAAAGAAGGCACTGAGCCAGTTATAAGGCATGATCACGTATGAAACACATCTTCGTTATCCCAGCATGTTTGGTTACTGGGAGAGTGGGCAGTTCATCTTAGGAAGCAAAACCAAGGACAAAATGTGTAGTACATCTGGTATCTAGCCATATGTAGGGACTCAGAATGGGTTTAAGTATTGGTCATGAGGCCTACTTGCTAGTCCTAGACCACTGGATAGGAATGAACTTACATTTATATATTATTCTTATTTCAATTAGGCATCTGATTTGATATGTAGGCCGAGGCAGAGTGAAAAGTTGATAACCTGGGTAATTGGAAAGATGGTGGTGCTTGCCTTTTACTCTAATAAGGAAATTTTGGAACAGAGGTAGATTTGAGGGCAAGACAAGGGAGAAAATGAGTTCTGCTTTGAACATGTTGAGTTTGAGCTGCCTCCAGTTTGAAATGTCCAACAGGCATTTGGTAATGTGCAGGATTGGAGTCTTGCAAGCAGACTAGGACTGACTAGATATACAGATCTGAGATTCATCTTCGTAGAAATAGTAATTGAGTGAGATAATTTAGAGAGAAGAGAAATCATTCAAGGCCAGAACTTTGGAATACACACATACAGTTAGTGGCATATATGATGAATCAGCAAAGAAGACTGAGAAAAAGTGGTTGAGTAAGTAGAAGGAAAACCAGTAGTGTCCCAATCTCTCTATTAGGACAGAGTGATCTAAAGTGTCAAAATAAAGCATCCAGGTCAAGAAGAATGAGGATTCAGAAGAGGCCGTTCAGTTTGAAATTAGGAAAGGTCAAGCCCCACTTTATTCTCTGCCTCATTTCTTACCTAGCCTTAATCACTCAATAGGCATTGCCTCAGTCAAACTGAGACCTGTTGAAGACCTTATTAAAAAGGCCAAGGTCTCCTATTCCATCCAGGGCCATCTGTTATTATCTTGATCTATATTTTGCCACTGGACCCAGATAGCTCTGAAGGAGAAAGTGAGGCTTGTGACGTTTGTCAGCCTTCCTTCACGTAAATCCAATTCACCTGCATGCCATAGCATCACCTCCCTGATGTCATGGTCCTCTTTGAGAACAAATCTTTGGTAACTTTGTAAAGAGCAAATTTCATTTGAATAATGAAGTTGCAGAAAGTAAAGAAAAGTGTGAAAGGAAAATTTGGATGTACTGATTCTAGTCTCTTTATAGACTCCATAGTTAAACATTCAGGAGTCAAAACCCTTTATACTCTGACTCCAGTCTTACTTTATACTGTTCTTCATATACTCTATATTGCAGCTGAACTGAACTGCTCATAGCATCTTAAACTCTCATGCCTCCATGTCTTTGGTCATGATGTATAACCTATTTTTGACTTTGTTTCGGTCTTTGATGGCTTTTGAATACTCACCTTCTCTCTAAAGCCCAAATCACCCTCATCCCTAGAATGCTCTTCCTTTTCTGCTCTGACTACTGTTTATTTTGGTTTCCTTTAAGTTCCAGCTAAAATCCTGTCTTCTACAGAAGCGTTCTCAATTCCAGTGCCTTCCCTCCGTTAATTACTTCCTATTTATTCTATATATAGCTTGCTATGTATATATTTATTTGCATATTATCTCATTAGATTAAGTTCCTTGAGGGCAGGGACTGTCTTTTGCCTTTTTTTTTAATCCCCAGATGCTATCACTGTCTTTGACGTGTAGTAGCTTCTTAATAAGGATTGATTGATTGATTGAAATCCAGTGAACTTGCTCTAGAAAGCTTTCTCCTTTCTTCCTACTCATTAATGACTGACTTAAACTTCCCTGTATTCCCTAAACTCACATTGCATGTTACTTGTTTTCCCCGGTACACTTAACCTTTTATTTAGGTGTCATATCGTTACAGAAGTGCAATAACAAGTACCTCTTGATTTAGCTAAACCTTTTATCTTTCTCAGGATCAGGCACACCACTTGCTAAATGTTAATAATTTGTTTATGTAAATGTTTAAAACATACTGAATAATAAGCATGTATTAAACATAAGAGTAGATAAATACTTGTAAAAAATTTTAACATTGTATTAATATGCTATGTATAGATTACTGGGAAGATCAAAAAACTAAATTGTTAAAGAATCTGCAGTATAATTTCTCAGTCAGAAATCAGATATTACATGACAACTCATGAAATTGGGACACATTTCTAAGACAATGATTACATTAGTTTTTTGATCTATTGAAGTTTACCTAAACTTTAAACACTTTAAACACATACATAAATCGGACTGCTAATTTAAATTTTACATTTGTTTTTGTTCTGCCAATTTGAGTCCTCGTTTTTATTTTATTATATATTACAGCTAGGTTGCATTTAATTCAAATAATGAATCCTGTAAGTGGTTGTATGTCACACTATTCAAAGTTACAATTATGTAAAATATGATAATTTGTTCTAGCCCTATGGAAATATGCAGTGCAATTCAAATAGCATGAGCATTTCACCAGATTCATTATTTGCATAAATCAGGACCTAGCTATGCACTGAAAAGTGATAACTTTCTGTTTTATGACAACTAACTACTGAAATTTTCAGAACTTTGCAGTCCTTTGTTTCAGTCATGCTAATTATGCTGTGTATTCACATTGTTGGTGTTAACACTACGTATAGCATTTTTCTTCAAAAGTAGAATAATAAAATGTGAATTAGAAAGAACCTAAATTCAGAGGTTTCAGGGGTATTTAAGTGATTTGCCCAAAGTTACATAGTACAGCTAACCAGATCTGGAATTAAAACACCCAGGTCTCCTAACTAGTAGTTCAGTTGCTTAGGTGCATTATGTGTTCTTTGTTAAAGATTTGTATCTTTGGTGTTCTTTACCAAAAGTGAAATTAGATTGCTTTCTGTCCTGTCAAAGCTTTTCTTTCATCTCCTTCTTCTTGTTATAACTTTCCTAAGAATGTTTCTTAACTTTTTGTGTCTTTTTTTATTTTCATTTTTTCACAGACTGAGAGACTATTTTAAAGTTCAACAAATGTATTCCACACTTGAAATCTGCTGCTTTCTTCTACCACCACCTCCTTTAAAGGTCTGACTTCTTAAACAAGAGGTAAAGTTATATAGTTAACTTTAAATAAAAATGTACATTTAAAATGTATATTTATATAGATTACCATGCCAATCTAGGACTATTAGGATTTTTGTAATGGCTTTTCAACATTATTAAAATTATATCCTTTTTAGTAGTTGCATTTTGTACAATTTCTTTTTGCCTATGATTTCATTTCAGGACACTATCCTAAATATCGAACAGTTGTTGAATTTTTACTAACCAAAGAACATAGTGATATTTGACTTTTTACTTCTGATGCTATTAGGAGCTATGTCTGGTGCTTTTGCAACTCATAATCACAGCAAAAGATTTGAGCGCTTGTATGTCATGTCTTTTAAGTATAAATTTTATTTTGACTTCTCTTGACAAGCATAGATAATAAAATAATAAACAAGGATATAAAAAAGAAATGAGGAAACTGTGCATATAAGGTAAAACAAACAAAAAACCCAAGAGATCTTAAATGATTGTTTCTGTAACTTTATTTACTAATTCTTAATTTCGTCTTAAAGGGTGTATTATTGCCTTTAAGTAGTAGCTTTAGTAGCCTATCATCCTTGTTTTCTTGACTCTTTAAAAAGAACCTTTTACTGTATGTATACCATTAGTTTGTTGCTATTGTTAACTACATAGTTATAGTTAGTGATTATGATCTTTATTTTCTACCTTCTTCATTCTACATCATTTGATATGAGTTGTCTGATATTCCCTTGAACTATTCATAATCATTGTTTCTTACGATAGAGTAATCCATTACATTATATATCTTGCTTTGCCCAATATTAAATTATTTATTTCTGTTTTTTTCTATTTTAAATAGTGCTGCTGGTAATATTTCATACATGTATTTTTTCCCCCTGTCAATAACTACCTTAGCAGGATAGTACCAGTAATAGACCACTAGATCCAGGGATACACATATATTTGTAACTCTTATTGTAGAATTATGTATTACTTTCCAAAAAGGTTAGGTCAGCTCATAAACTTAATAGCAGTAGAAGTGTGTATGCTAGCACTGAATTTTGTTTGTTTGTGTGTGTGTGTGTATAAATTTATTATTCATTTTAAACGTGAATATGAAATGAGAAAAGAAAAAAAAAGAACATTTCCAGGTGGCGCAGTAGATAGAGCTCTGGCCCTGGAGTCAGGAGGACCTGAGTTCAAATCCTGCCTCAGACACATGATACTTACTAGCTCTGTGACCCTGGGCAAGTCACTTAACCCCAATTGCCTCGTCAAAAAGTAAAAAAAAAAAAAGAGAGAACATGAGAGGATTCAATATAAAACATAAATTTCCATTTCAAGAAAACCTCTGTAACAAATATTACACATTGTTTTCAAAGATACCTAGCTTTTCTTTGCTTTCTTCAAGGTTTTTTTTTTTTTGTTCTCTGCTATAAACTTTTATTTTTCTTTCTCCCTCTGTCCCCCGGCACTGAATTTCGTTATCTGGAATTATCTTTACCAGTTTGATATGGATCAGCTGAAATCTGATTTGTTTTAATTTGCCTCTTCTGATTATTAAAGATTTTGAACATTTTTTTTAATATGAAGATTGATGTTTCATGTTTCAAGTACTGTCTTTCATATACTTTTACCCTTTAGTTGTAGAATGGTTGTTACTTTGATAAATTTGTCCCTTATAATTTTTAGATGTCATTCTTTTATCAGAAGCATTTGATGCAATAATATTCCTCCCATTTTGTATCTTTCTTTCGTTCTTTTTTTTTTTGATACACTACTTTTTATTGGTAGAAACTTTTTCCTTTTCCAGTAATAATATTTATCTGTTTTTAATCTCATTATTTTTCTCTGAGTCACAGCTTATAAAGAAGTTGGGAAAAATAAAATAGGCCATTGCCCTTTTAAAATAAAATTTAATATATTTATGCTATTGTTCCACTTGGCATTTATTGCAGTATAGAGTATGAGGTTTTTGTTTTTCCCTTTTTTCATTTTTTAAAAATTAATTACCTTTATTACTGTTACACCATTTATACAATTACACATAATCTCAGTGCATCCATTGTACTTCTTATTTTTTTGGTTGGTGGTTTTTGTTTTGCTTTGTTTTCCAGTGAGTTGTGTATTGGTGTCTAGACACAGATTGGAAGAGAAACTGGAGTTTCAACAAAAACCAGATTTTTTTTTCATTTCCACTGACTAATAAACAACTACATATACACCCAACCACCGGCATGCATTAACTCATCATGAAAAATCTAGGTAGTCTAAGTAGGAAGAGAATGTTTGTTAGTCCCAAGAATATCTGGAGAGGAAGAATGGAGGATTGGCATTGAGAAAAAATGTGGACAGCTAACTGGGTACTGTCTGAAAGTTGTCATTCATCCGCAGCATTAAAAAAATATCAGAATAAGAAAAGCTGTACATTAAAAAACAACAACAACAGAAAATACTGCTTTAATAAAGATCTGATTGCCTTGGCACAGGCCCTGTGGGTGGAATCAAACACATCACTCCTAAACCCTGTTACTGAAGAAAAGATATTTTGATGTATCAGTGGAGTACATCTAACAGCAGTTCAGGTACAAAAGATGTATTGTACTTTTAGATATCCATCTTTAAAATCCAGGACTTATTTATAAAGTTGACTGAAGGTGTGTGTATTAGATATTTCCCCACAAAAATACTATTTGGATTTTCTCCCTTACTCTCTACCCCTCTCCCTTGATGGGATGTCCTTTTTTGGGGGCACAATACATAGCGTTATTTCAGATTTCAAACAAATTAGTGTAGCTGAGGAGGAGGGAGAGAGAGTCAGTTGTTTTTAAGTGATTATTATCATCATTATTTTTTTTAATAGGCTGCCTATGTTACTCTTTCACCACTGCTGTTTGATCTGAATTAGTGGTCTGAGCCTCAGAAGGTTTAACCTCTTCTGTTGGGACTGCAGGTTCCTGGGCCTTAAGGTACATAGCTAGGGCTTCCTGTTGGCTGTTAGAGTCTCTTTGGAAGAAGACACAGCTTTGCTGCTGCTAGGTTTAGAGTGTGAACCTGGAGTCAATTTTTAGTTTCTTGGGCGATGGGAGCTACGGAAGCCTCAGTCTTTTGCTTCCCCTTCCTCTTTGCTCTTGTCATCTACTTTACTAGTTGCTGTGGTTTCTGAGGACTGGGAGACCTTTGCCTCAGTGCTAGGTGCTAAAGTCTTAGAAGCATTACTACTGCTGGGGTAGAGGCAGGAGCCTGTTCCAGTTTGGTATCTTTCTGCTGCTTCTCTACTATCAGGGACAGCCTCTAGTTTCTCAGGCTCTGGTTTTGGAGCCTTTTCTTTGCCAGCTGCTGCATTCTTCTCTGCTTCCTTATCTTCAGTCTTGTTAGCAGTAACTTGGGAATCTTTGTCAGTCTTCTCTTTGTTGTTCTCCTTCACATCTGTGGTCTCTGCCACTGTCTGGGTCTCATCATTCTCGTTGGGAGTTTCTTCTTCCACTGCACCAGCTCCTTCAGCCTTCTTGTCTTTATCCTTGGCTTTCTCATCATTTACATTGTACCCATTCTTTTTGCTAAGCTTGCCTCCTATATTTGGAGTTCTTAATTTATTCTCTTGTCCTCTCCATCAGTGTGTGTACAGTGCACCCTGGTATCACCAAGACAGCTATGGGGAGCCTGGGGTCCACTTGGCTGGGGCTAGGTGGTGTGATGTCTCTCCCAGTCTCAAGAGACTAGAGCAAGGGGAGCCTATTGGAGCAATGCCACTGGTCCTGCTGCTGTCTCTGCATTTCTCATTCTCTCTCCCTCCCTCACCTACCTTCCTGCTTCTGTCCTTCCTCCCCTCTTCTCCCACCTCCCCCTGCACCCCCTTTTTTAATTTTTTAAAGCCAATTGTTACTCTGTTTTTCCAACAGTTTTTGAATGACATTTCCCCGAGTGTTTTGTTATTCTAGGCTTATTGAATGCTAGAATACTATGCAAACTTGAGGGCAGACAGGTAGCAATGGGTAGAATACTGGGCCTGGGATCAGGATGACCTGAATCCAGATTCATCCTCAGATACTTACTAGCTCAAGTCACCTACACTCTGTTTGCCTCAGGATAATAATTGCACCTACCTGACAAAGTTGCTATAAGAATCAAATGTGATCCTCTTCCCCTCTCCTTCCCTTTCCTATTTGCTTTTAACTTAGTGTTGTCTTACCTGTTATACTGATCTATAGATGCCTTTCTTGGAAGTATTTCTTGGAGACAACATAAATTTCAATCTTATCTTTATATTCATTTAGTTATCCATTTTATTTTTAGAGGTGAATTCATTGCATTAATCTTCAAAATTATAGTTGTTAAATTAGGTAGTTTTTAGTGTTATTCTTAGCTGTAATCTTTATTTTGCAGGTATGAGGTCTACCTTATTTCCTTTTTGTCTTAAATAATCAAAATCTCACAACCCTAGACACAATTCAAATCTATATCCTTACGATATACCCAGGAAAACTAGAAAACAGTATGGCAGAAACTAGATATAGACCCAACATCTCACACTATCTGCCAAGATAAAGTCAAAATGGGTACATGATTTACAACAAAAGAGTGATACCATAAGCAAATTAAGAGAGCATGGTTTATCTGTTAGATTTATAGATAACGGAAGAATTTAGGACCAAAGAAGATAAAGAGAGTATTGCAGAATATAAACTAGATAATTTTGATTATATAAAATTAAAAAGTTTTTGCACAAACAAAGCCAATGCATCTAAGATTAGGAGGGAAGCAGAAAACTGGGAGAGAATTTTTGCAACCAGCGTCTCTGATAAAGTCCTCATTTCTAAAATATATACAGAACTGGGTCAAATTTATAAGAATACAAATCATTCTCCAATTGATAAATGGTCAAAGGATATGAACAGGCAGTTCCAAGAGGAAGAAACTAAAGCTCTCTATAGTCATATGAAAAAATGCTCTAAATCACTACTGATTAGAGAAATGAAAATCAAAACAACTCTGACCCTTTGACCCAGCAGTACCACTTTTAGGGCTGTATCCCA